GGTTTACTGCATTCACATATGCTGTTCTACCCTCAACACAGTACAACAGTCTGTAGCAGTTGTCAAACTTTTCCTATAAAGGGCCAGATAGTAAATATTTTATATTTGTCATAACTTCTCAACTCTGCCAAAGTAGCATGAGTGGCCATAGACAACACATAATTCAATGAATATACTGTGTTCCAAAAACTATTTATGGACAATTAAATTTATTTAAAATTATTTTCATCCTACTTATATTGGAACCAAAATGCAAAAGCCATTCTTAGCTCTTGGGACAAAACAAAATAGGATGCAGGCCAGATTTGGTCTGAGGCATAGTTTCCTGACCCTTTTTCTGCCACTGTTGCTGGGACTGTAGTTACAAGTTACCCACACCAAAAGAGAAGAGTTCATTTAATATCTTTTTTTCCTATCTAGAAGATTTTTCCCAGGAGGTATTATAATCTGAGATTGTAAAACTAGAGAGGTTATAAGCTATTTTCCAATGCTTTCTTTTTAAGAAGAATATATTTCTAGGTCTACTAGTATTACTTGTTCAATAAAAAGAGCAAAAAATTAAGGGACTGTATATTTTCACTTTTTAATAAACCACATGTCAAAACAATACTTTATTTAATAAAGGTATAGGAAATTACAATTTGAAAATTGCAAATACAGTACATATACATATAATTTGATCTAATTACATGGACAAACCCCAGCTTCAAAATCTTTCTAAAGTCAATCATATGCAAAATACGTGGTTTCTAAAGGGGCATATAGAAAAGTATATACAATTTCTTAATCTGTGATATGGCTTATTTAATAATATTTATTTAGAGAAGTATAAGCATTCCAAATATACAGTATCTTCCAGATAGAAAGCTGACATACTGGCACATTTCAATTTTGTGTTGCAGTTATTTGTGAATATACTTAATTGTACTATTTAAATAGACACTATCATAGATTTAACTGGGATAGTCTCCATATGTTTTCCAGTCTTAACCAAAACTCAGAAAATGTTTGTTGGTCCTCACAATATGATTGGAAGACCAGGTTAAACCCTTTGTAAGCAAGAATTCAGTGACTGGCTGGCCTGAATGCACACACATAATTTGACATGAAGGAACTTCTACAAAAGTTTTTTTTCTTTCCAATTTGCATGCACCCACCAACATCAAAAATATATTCAATAGGCAATCAGTGAGATAAATCTGAAGGCCTGGCCAACAGGATGCACATGACAGATCTGGGGTTAGGACGTGCAAACGGCATTTTGACTACAGAGATATGAAACTTCATTAATAATGTGGAGATAAGGCTTGCCTCCCTTCAACACAGCGTATGACAAGGTGTCACTGTTCATTTATGGCTAATCCCTGACTGGTTCATGAGCTAAGCATGGTTCAAAGGCAAACTGAACCAAATGAACAAATCTTATACCTAGAACACATTCTGTAACTTTAAATTTAAAATATACAAGGCAGAGTCAACAGCAAAATGGCCAAAAACTTTATCTCAAAGGGGCTCAAACTCTGTAAGAATACTTTATCCATTATGTTGAAACAATTAATATAAATGCATACAAAAAATTTAGCTTACTGAAGCTTGTTTCAGAACTGAATGATTAACACAAAGGCTGTAAGAATGGTCATTTGAGAACGTAACCCAAAGTCTTATTAGCAATGATCTTCACTGAGACTGCAAAGTATAGTCTATTCCTAATATACTTACTCTGTGAAGTTTAGTGTGCAGAGAAATCTGGATAAGGAAGAGTTAAAAAAAGGTTCTTTCAAAACAAACAAACAAATAAAAAAAGGTTCTTCCCCACCTGGAAATACATTTCTAAGTGGTTCTTTCTCTCTGGAAGACTTTCCTCAACATTGAAAGGTATGTGATGTTGACTATGTCTAAAGGGAAAATTCCACTGAAGACAAACACTGTCAGCTGGGATATTTGGCTTCAAGAAATAGAACACTGAGATTTCTGAGATCTGGAAACTTAGTTTTACAGAATGGAAATAAAGCACCTGAAGTTAAAAAGAAACAATAAAATAAAAAACCCCAGTGATTTAGCAAACACAAATGTGAAAACCTATGCTCACATTACATAGCTAGTGGAAACATATATAGGACTTACAATAGCTTCTAGTTCTACATATCAAAGCCTCTGAAATATGCCTTATTCAATTATATTCTCATTAGATTCTGAAGGCAGCATACTTGTCAGTGAAACAAATGTTTTCTTAAATCAATCAAAAGGCTGCATCTGCCCAAAAGTTGTGAAACACAGGTTTATGTACACAAGGTAACTCTGATTATTTGCAAATATTAATTCAAATACATCACAATGAAGAATTGCCAAGTTTTAACACGATCTGTTCTGTTGTCCTACCAGTGCAAAATTAACAATGTTACATGCTTGTCCAACTCCGCCTCTGCTTTTATAGGGCAATACCTTTTGTGAACTCAGCCAAGAAGTGTAACCCATGGTTGTAGCTCAACTAGTGAAGGACAGACCAAACGCTCTTTTGTCAGAACCTGTTCAGTCTCTGCTAAGTTAAGAAGAGAAGTTGTCCTTCTCTGTGGGTTTTGTCAAATTACAAAAGCAAAATCTATCAATTCCCAAATCTAATGGACTCAATAAAGTACAAACACAAAATCTGTAGTTCTTGCTATAAAAACAAAGCACAGGAAACTTCATGCATACCTCACTTTAAGCAGAATATGATTGTTAAAGATTTACAAAAGTTTTCAAGGTTTCTGTAATTTGCAGAAGGATTCTTTTTAATCCTCAAATGAATTTTTGCTTTTTCAAATAACTTTTTAAGGAATAGGTTGATATAAAAAGCAAGATCTGCCTTTAAAGATAAGGGAAAGTTTACAAGAAACAAGTATAATAGACAGTGAATAATGTATAATTTTTTCCTTTCTCTTGCTAGATACCCAAAGTCCAGAAAAGTTCAGGTATCCACAAAATAGCTCTCATTTATTCTTACTTGCCTTTTATATGTAAGAGTATTTTGACTTAGTTTATATGCTCCTAAAATTTGAGAAATTCAAATTATTATTTTTTTAATAACTTCTTTTGAGACACAGTCTCAAGCTTTTGCCCTAGGTAGAGTGCCATGGCATCATCATAGCTCACAGCAATCTCCAACTCTTAGGTGCAAGTGATCCTCTTGCCTCAGTTTTTCTATTTTTAATGGAGATGAAGTCTTGCTTTTGGCTCTGGCTGGTCTTGAACTTGTGAGCTCAAGCAATACACTCGCCTCAGCTTCCCAGAATGTGAGCCACCTGTAATCCTTTGAGCCACCTGGCTCAAATCATTATTTTAAATGACTTTACAATAAGAATCCCATAAAGTAAATTTCAATTCAATTCAACATCTATTGGGTTTTATTAGGTACCATCAATCTGTTTTTGGATACCAGTAACTCCAACAGTCTTTTAAGCCCAGGTTTTCTTACCTTAGGTTTCATAGGAAGGTACTTGGGAGAAAGATGAAATGTGTTTCCTATTCTTCATTTACATTAAGTCATGCCTATCTCAAATTTCAACTCACAACTTGCTGGATATGCTGTCTATCTACTGATTCTCTGAGGAGTCCAAGAACCATATCCATTCCTAGTATAAGAAACTGTCCCTATTGAAAAGGGACTCCCAATGTGCATAAGTAACTCAAAATCAGTGATTGCAAAATGAAACAGGAATAATCAAAGCTGCCTCTTTAACACAACTGTTACCAATTATATTGACTTCAGTTTGGAAACTTATCTCCCTACAACACACCCTAGTACAGTGTTTCTCAACCTTCCTAATGCCGTGGCCCTTTAATACAGTTCCTGTCGGTCTTGACCCACAGGTTGAGAACCGGGGCCTTAGTGCTTTTAAACACGCACATTAGGTCAAAAACACTTTACATTTCTGCTTTTTCAAAGTATTATCTTCTCCCAATTACTTTGGACTGTTCTGCTATGATATTGTTGGGAAAATCTCAAAATTATATCTTAGGTTTTATGGAGTCCACGGAGAATCTCTAACCCACATTGCAAAACAGAAATTCTCTCTGGAATAATGTGGTTATTCCACATGCAAGAGGTTACTATAATACATATAAGAGTATTACAAACTGAACCTTAGTTTCACCCTGAAAGATACACACAGGTTACTTGGTATGGAGGCAGAAACCAAGGTACCAAACTTTTTACACAAATTGTTGGCATTCTTAAAGGGACAGAGGATCACTGTTTACCTTTTGTACTCTCTTGCTATTTTTAAGACAATTCCAGAACAATCAACATGATTTTGGGGAGACACAAATCTGAAACTCCATATTCCATCCTTGCTACTTTATTTTGTTTAAATCATCATATAGTAATTTGAGTTTAAGACTAATTTCTGTCATTTAGATTAATATTGAAAATATTTACTAAATAACTTAGGAAGTAAAGATTTGGTTCTAAGATTACATATAATCAATAATGTTAATTTTGAGATTCAAAACCCTGTAGCATCTGGAAAACTTGTTTAAAAGTATAACTATATTAAGACTTATTTGTGAAATAAAACATTTCTGAAACACTTAGGAATACATGCTTATTCCATTCTCTGGATAATTAGTACTTCCTGAAATCTGTTGAGAAATAACTTCCATAAAAAAGAGAGCAGCAATTCCAGAAGCTGGGTGTCAAGATTACATAATTTAAAAATTCAGTGTTCCAGCATTGGCTTGATATAAAACGGCCTTTAAAAAGTATTTTTAAATGCAAATACTGAATTCTTGATGCTTCCTTTAAGACAAGTATTCTTTCAAATTAATGAAGTATGATCTTGGATTGTCTTCTATGAGGTATCCGTAGAGTCACATCTCATTCTGTAAACAATGTTTTGAAGATATCTTCACTTGAAAATCATGGTGAAGTCTCATTTTACCATTAAACAGAGACTAGCATTGTCAGGCTGGGGTGACTGAGAGACTGGTACTTGATACGGACACAGCTGTCAGGGATCCCATTTTTCTCATTTGGGTTTGCATTTATTGCTCTCAAGTCTGTGACTGCAAGATAATAAGGCAGGAGTCCCCAAAATATATAAAATTAGGGACTGGAACTCTGGCAATTTGCACAAGTTCTGTCCACATCTTGCCTGTAACTCTGAAGCTGAATAGTACATTTATACATGCCAAATGTGTTCAATAATAAATGGTTTGCTTTGGATTGTACTTCCTCCCATTTAGATGAACTTCCAGGAACTGCAATATCAAAAAAAAAATCATTACTATTCATTGTACATAGTTACACATTAGTGAAAAAGACAGTGAAAAAAAAACCTTATACTGTGGGTGTATTTTTATTTGTCTGATTTCTACCTTCTCTAAGCTACTCTGTTAAAGAAGTATGCCAGTTTACACATCCATAATGGTTTCTCATTATTCCAATCACTTCAGTCCACTAGAATACTAGACATCAATTATAGGCCTGTCATTAAAAAGATTTTTTGCACTTTTAAAAATAAACTTCATACATATATGTGTATTATTTTGACAAAAACATAATAAAAACAGTATCTGCAAAATGCCTTAAAGAAATAAAAAACATAAGAATCTAGCATTTCCTATGTAGAAAAGAGCATGTAAAATATACTTAATGCCTTTAATCTGAAAACATCAATTTGCAATGCCTCATTTCAAAGATATCAATAATTATTGTTCTGCTAATTAATATGATCTACAACTTACCCCTGAAGAGCCTCACCCCTCCCTTAAGACAAGTCTTTTCAGCAGATAAGTCTTCCTACTTAATTACAAGCACAGGTGTTTAGCTCTAAAGATAGAAATCCACCAACCCCAGGCCCACATTTACTATCAGAAACATACTTAGCTGTATGTGAACAATGGCAGTAGATTTTCCTGAAGTGAGAGACCAGATGTTTAAATCTTCCACTGAATATACATCCTCTATTTTCATCAAGGCTTCTTTGATATAGTCTACATTCAAATGACTTGGTACACCTGTTAAGATAGGAATATATAAGTAAAGTTTACCTTGGGAAAAAATGGTTTTACATTACTGATAAGACATTTTTCAAAGAAAAGATGGCTTTGCTCAATTCAGTTTAAACAGATATTTTAAAATACCTCAAGATACCTAAGATATATATGTGCATGGTGTACCTCAAGATATACTGTGCACATATCTATTTTTACTAAAAATGTAGGATCTATACAAGAGATTAACACCTACTTAAAAAGTTCATTCTCACTTTAGAATCACATTTTGATTCTGAAAAGAATCAAATTAGAATATTTCATTTAATAGCAATCCAGGATAAAGAAAAAAAAAGAAGGGACAAACATTCAATACTGATAAACCTATTAGTGAGAACTTTTATTTTCATGGTTACATGTAATATTAGCTTGTAATATTGTTGGGACGTTGTAAATATAACAAAGGACGTTGTAAATATAACAAAGTCCCAAGTTAAACAGGAATTAAAGAATAAATAAACAACTAAACATAATCACATTGAGAATCAATAGAGTTGCATTCTTGTCCTAGCTCTACTATTTATTAGCAGCATTACCTTAACCAAGGTAAATTATCCTCCTGAACTTCAATTTTCTTGCTTGTAAATGGAGGTAATTTATTTCATCGTTTGCCTTCCCTACTTTGTTTGGCTACTGTAAGGGTCAAATGGGTGGCAGATGGGAGAGTGCATTGATTCTTATGTTACATATGTACCTGTAAGGTAGTGTTACACAGCCTAACAAGTAACAGCAGAAAGCAGAAGATGTAACTTTATCCTAGACTGTCTTCCTTGACTCCCAATTTGCTTTGGAGAAGTAACAAACCCATAATGGGGATACTAGTGAGATCTTACCTTCTAGTATTATAACTACTGTATCCCATATGATGTGAAATGTTGTAAAAGCCACAAGACATGAAAATACATATGTGCAGATGGGATCAGCAATCTTGTATTCTGGCTAAAAGATAATAGATCAAAGTTTATAATTAAATATAGACAGACATAAAGCAGACTATAAAGCAACACAAGGCATATATTCCCTCTTCTTTGCTTTCTTTAGTGGGATTGGAGAATACCTTTAAAACCTGGATATTATAATTGAGAAACATCTTCACTATTTTCTAGAAAGTTAATGTCTTTCTTCATGGGACCTATTTCCAGAAGTTTAATTGCTGTTCTTCTCTAGGCCTTCTCTACATCTTCCACCCAGAATCATAGAATGTAAGAGCTTAAAGGAGTTTGTTTTAGAGACAGTGTCTTACTATACTGGCCAGGCTGGTCTCAAACTCCTAGGCTCAAGGGATTCTTCTGTCCCATTTTCTTAATTGCTGAGAATATAGGCAGGCCCTATCACACCCAGCTCTAGAAGGAATTTCAGTAGCCATCTGATCTAAGCCTGTCATAATAAAAAGGAAGGAACTCAAGTTTAGAGTTGAGGGACTTCCTCAAGGTCAAAGCACTAATTGCAGAGCTAAGATTGGAACTCAGATCCCTGGATTTCTAGCCCAGTGCACATTTCACTATCTAGCTCAGTGACAAGATTTAAAGCTGATTCTCCAGTGAAAAAACTATCAAGGCCAACTACATAGTAAGTATCTCCTGAGGTGATCCCATTGTGTTTACTGCTAACAAAAGAACTATACTGATGGCTTACATCAATGTAAAATGAATAAAATTGGCATTGGTGTCCAGCATACTGATAAAAGGACAATCAACTTTAGTTTTAACATTGACAGAGCTGGGCAAAGGCCCTAAGATAATTATGTGCTCCATTTACTTGGGAAAAAGAAGCAAAACAGCCAATATAAATTGAAATTAAATATATTTTCAAACAGAAAAATTAGTAATCATATTACCTTGAATCGTATGATGTATGCAGCTATTAGTACACCCACACTCTGTACCAAATCCCCCAAAGCATGTACAAATGCAGCTCTCACTGCCAGGCTATCCTGGCTGTGTCCACACCCAGAACCTATGGTAGGAGAATTTGAAGGCAGGGAGTGGGAATGAGAGTGATGGTGACCAGACTGGTTCAACAGAAACCCCATTCTGTTAAAAATAAAAGAAAACATTATTATTTTTCATAATGTTATTGATAAAAATATTTGTTACTAGTCAGACATTAATGAGGTAATATGGTCATTTGTTCAATAAATATTTGAACGCTTATTATTTATCAGTATTGTTCTAGTTGCTGGCATCAAAACTGGGTAAGACAGATACATTCCTACTCTCATGGAGCTAATGGGAGAAGGCAGAGAAGCATATATATATATATATAATGGATAACTAGACAATGTGAAATGCTTTCAAGAAACAAAGCGTTCCAAGAAGATGGAGAAGATAGGGATTGTGGTCAGAGGCCTCTCTCAGATTCTGAGCAGAGACCTGAAGGGTTTCAGGGAATAAGTGATGGTGTAAGTGTTCTAGGTAGAAGAGCTGGGCAAAGGCCCTAAGATAAACATGTACTCCATTTACTTGGGAATAAGAGGCAGGACAGCCATTATAGCCAGAATAAAGTGAGCCAAAGTGCTAGGAGATGGCTGGAGAGGTACACAGGGTCTTATTAAAAGAGCTATGGTAAAGACTTTATTCTAAGTACAAAGAGAAGCCACTAGGGCAGCAATTGGTCAGCTATGGCCAGTAGACCTTTTTGGCTAATACATTTTGTACATCAAGTTTTACTGGAACACACCCATGCTCATTAGTTTATATTTTTAAGTGTGGCTGCTTTTGTTTTATAACAACAGAGTTGAAGAGTTTTGAAAGAGATAGGATAGCTCTCAAAGCCTCAAATATTTACTATCTAACCCATAACAGAAAAAGTTTGCTGACCCAAGGTCTAATGGTTAAATACATAATTTAAAAATACAGTAACTTTTAGGAAAAAATTGGTAGCTTTTTTTTGTTGTTTGTTTTTGAGACAGAGTCTCACTCTATTGCTCAGGCTAGAGTTCCATGGCCTGAGCTGAGCGCAAAGCAACCTCAAACTGCTAGGCTCAAGTGATCCACCTGCCTCAGCCTCCCAAGTAGCTGGGACCATAGGTAGTGCCACAATATCCAGCAAAGTTTTCTATTTTTAGTAGAGACAGGGTATTCTCTTGCTCAGGCTGGTCTCAAACTCCTGAGCTCAAGCAATCCATCTGCCTTTGCCTCCCAGAATGCTAGGATTACAGGTCTGAGCCACTGTACCCTGCTAAAAAGTTGGTAGTTAAAAAAAAAAATTTAGTTTACACAAAAGTATTCTAAAAGTTAAACAATAACAAAAACCTTTGTTCTACTTAAATTCATGAATGTTAGACAAAGTCCAACATACCTGAGCAAACTAATGAGGAATTTATGATGTCCAAAGTGTTTCATTTCATTAAAAAATATGAAAACATCACTGCCCATTACTGGATGCATGTACAATAGTCTCTAAGTTCATAGTACTTGAAAATATGAATGCAGCCTCAGTGCCTGCAGCTCAAATGGCTAAGGCACCAGCTACATACACCAGAGCTGGTGGGTTCGAAACCAGCCTGGGCCTGCCAAACAACAATGACAACTACAACCAAAAAAATAGTTGAGTGTTGTAACGGGCTCCCAGCTATTTGGCAGGCTGAGGCAAGTGAATTGCTTAAGCCCAGGAGTTGGAGGTTGCTGTGAGCTGTGATGTCACAGCGCTCTACCCAGGGCAAAAGCTTGAGGCTCTGTCTCAAAAAAAAAAAAAAATTTAATGTGAAAAAAATACAGAGCTTACATTATATTAACTGCAACTCCAACAGCTGCGGTGATAAGCATTATATCTCCATTTATTTCATAGTTCATGTGGATAGTTCTTTGGACAGCTTCATATAAGAGGAATCCCATAAGTATATACACCAACAGCACACTAATCATAGCGGACAAAACCTCTAGAGGGAAAAAGATATAAAACAAATATATTTATATCAGCATTATTACACATCATACTAACTATTATACAGTCTTTTATTTATAATTCCTTCATTTCAAGGAGATAAAAGCACTCTATCACTTTCATCGTGTCATTTTTGTTACTTAAAAAGTGGTTAGCAGCTTGACTGAGCTGGATCTTCTGCCAATTCATTTCCACCATTCTCCATCCTCATCCTTCTTTAGGGTCAAATTATGTATATTTACAGATCATACAGAAGGTAAAAAATGACAAACTGAGAAAAAAATTAGTAACATATGTGACCAGACTAATTTCCTCATATTTGAAAAGGACACTCAGAAATCAGTAACAAAAATAAAAGCAGTAACAAAGTGAACAACACATAAGAAAAATGGGTAAATGACACAAACAGTAATTCCCAGTAAACAGAAATAGCCAAATAATCAAAATTCAATCATAATAAAAGTTATTCAAATAAGAGTAAGATTTCTTTTCCCCTGACTAAATTGGCAAAAATTAAAAAGCTTGATAATAGTCAGAGATAGCAAGGATATAACTAGTGGATGTATTTTAATGGTATCATCTTTGTAGAGAACCAATTAAATAAAATAAAAGTTTAGAAGTTTAGAATACATATATTCCTTGATCCAACAATTCTACTTCTAGGACTCTGATGGAAACACTCTGCAAAGATACCTACAGGATTTTCATTGTAGCATTGTCTGTAATATAAACAAACGCATACGGAGACATTTTAAATGTTTACCAAAGAACAACTTAATAAATTACGATATATACATATATAGTAGAATACAATGCAGCCATTTATTTTTTTAAAAAAGAAAAATAGGGCAGCGCCTGTGGCTCAGTGAGTAGGGTGCCAGCCCCATATACTGAGGTTGGCAGGTTTGAACCTGGCCCCAGCCAATCTGCAACAAAAAAATAGGCGGGCGTTGTGGCAGGGACTTGTAGTCCCAGCTACTGTGGAAGTTGCTATGGGCTGTGATGCCACCGCACTCTACCGAGGGCAACAAAGTGGGACTCTGTGTCAAAAAAAAAAAAAAGAAAGAAAAATCAGGCAAATTGATCATCACAAGAATGACAAAAAAAGACTATACTTTTAGAGATGATTTCCATATTCCATTATTAGAGAAGTTTCTCTGAACATGTTTTTAAAAAGACCAAAGTATTACATCTGGGAAGTGGGACTGGAAGCTTGAGAGATTTATTTTTCACTTTAGCCTTTCTGGTAATGTTTGAAATGTTATGAACTTTTATATTAAACACATATTACCTGTAGACTAAAGAAAAATAATTTTGTTTCTAAGGGTCTTGCTGTGTTGCCCAGGCTAGAATACAGTGGCATCATATCTCACTGTAACCTCAAGCTCCTCTTGCCTCAGCCTCTGGCATAGTTGGGACTATGGGCATGTGCCACCAAACCTGGATAATTTTTTATTTTTATTTTTTTGTAGAGACGAGGTCTTGTTATGTTGCTCAGGCTGAATAAAAACAAAATATTTAAGAAATCCAAGCATTCAACATGCCTTGCAGGATTTCTCTTCTAGGAATGATATACACACTCAGGCCAACTGAGTTGCATCTGTGCAAAATGTTCCAAGGCTATTCATCAAGTGCTGTATATAATGACAAACGATTGGAAACAACCAAAAAGTGATTAGTAGGAGCAAGTAACATGGAATTCTAAGCAGCTATAAAAAAGTAAAGGCATAAAAAAATTTACCCTGACAATGAGTAATTTCTAAGACACAGTATCATATGAAAAAAGCAAAGTACACAATAATTATGTATGACACATTACTATTTGCATAAAAAAGTTGAAAAGAGGACACATAGTCATCTGTAAATGTAATCTCTGGAAGGAATATATAAAATACTAAAAAAACCCTGATTACCTTGTGTGAGAAAAACTGGTAGCTGGGAAACATGACTTTGTAGTATGTATTTGAATTTTCAACCATGTGAATATAAAGTAAAAACAAAATTTTTTTTTTTTTTAGAGACAGAGTTTTACTCTGTTGCCCTCAGTAGAGTGCTGTAGCATTACAGCTCACAGCAATCTCCAGCTCTTGGGCTTAGGC